ATAACAGTGTTCTCGAAGTGCTACGTTGAAGATATGGTGTGAGAGCTCAAAGAAGGGAGAACGGAAGCGAGTTGTGGTTGAGGACGCGTTCATATTGTCCACCTTGCCCAAGAAGAGCGGGTGGATGAAATGAGGTTTCAAATGGCGCATCACAGATGTTGAACCTTTGCGATGTTTGCCCACGAGACTTGCAGTCTAGCTGCACCTGTTACGCAAATTGTGCCCAAAAATTGGGGATGGTCCACAGAACATGTTTTTGGATATCCCATTTACTCCCAGATGCAGGAGTCCAGAATCGAATTGGTGTCTGTAGCAATGATTTTCTCTGCCGATAACGGCATTTAAGACTATCAAACTGGACCCTGCTCATAAACGAAATTTGTGTGTAATTGTACGCTGAGGCCAAAGTCAGAAGTGTCAACTTTGGATTAACGCGAATGAGGAACTGCCCGAATTGGATCACGAGAAGTCACGTGGGTTCACGTGGATGATTATTATGGCGATGGATTTCTGAGATGTGCCTCTTAAATGGCTCTGTCGGGAAAAAACCTCCGGCGTTTCTCAAGTTGTATGGCTTGTTTCTTAGCGAATCAAATTGACAAAGGAATAGCAGTATAAAACTACAATAACGATATCATCACCTATGTCGATACCAGACCCTACATAGCTCATATTGCTCACGGGTATTTCGATCAAACGGATATTGTGGCCTCTTCTTATCAGCCGTATTTTCCCAACTGCAGCCATGCGACCTCAGCTGTTTTATCGAACTGAACGCCCTACTCGTTCGGAAGCGCTACGACAATTCGTTGATCATCTATACTGACATCAAAAGCATCTTGTCTATACTTGTTGAAATGAAGAAGCTGCGCGGTGTCCAGTGTTTTCTAGACGCTGGGATCGGGTCGTTAACAACGACAAGATCTGCTTGACTTCACACCAAAGTATTAGCTTTTTATCTTTCCTGCTGTTCATTTTATTCGAATAAAACCGTGGACATGTTTGAATGAGATGACCTAATAATATGAAATTTCTGGCTGGTCGAGGCGTTTTCTGACAATGACATCAAAATCGCCGATTATAAATATTATAAGTAAAATCTGCAAGTGAAATGTGATAAAGATCGTATATTATTCATTATTGTTAATATTGACCTGTTTGAATAATATCATTGACCTCCTTTGAATAAGAATGTCAATTGTTCAACAAGATATGTAGTTACATACGTTACTATATTTGATATCCCATTTTGACTTGTCGGCTAAAATAGAGTGGTATTCATTTGTCGTCTTATTTATTCCCATCCCTGTGATGGGGCTTGAGACAGTTTCTGGCCATTCTTCACTTACGCAACAATTGACACATCTTACCCCATACTTGACCAAGCTCAAATTATATGTAACTGCTCTAAAATTCAAATGCAAAGCTAAACGGAAACATTCCACATCTTTGAAGCGTAAGCAAAGACCACTGCTACTACCAGCAAACAAGAGCCCATGTTGCGGTGAGCGGACGACTGCCTTTAGAAATTGGCTTACAACGATTCATTACTGAAACATCTATGCAATATTTATTCAAGGAAAGGAAATGCATTAGGTAGCTACCAAGTTTACATAAGATAGAGAAGAAGTACGCAGTACGTGCGTATGAAAGGTACATGTATGATGCTATGCAGAAGAGAACGAAAGTTCGATTAGCAGCTCTAAATGTTGACGGCTTGGCTTCGATTCAGTGACCAGTCTCCGTTCGTCGAACGTCACGCACGCCCCTGCAATGTTATGAGTCATGGAATGGACTTAGCTGACGCCGTTCTACTACACATTTGTTACAGATGTCCATTGTGTAGCCCGAATAAATAGGATAATAACGAATATTCTCTAGTAGGTATAGTTTTGGAAACTAAAAAAAAACGAGATATTTAGCGATTTCCTGTGGCCGAAAACCTGAGCGTCCGACGCAAAAATGTGCCCATCATCATCTATCTGTGTTAACCAAAAACACGGCTACAAGTGGGGCACAAGCGCGCATGCAGTTGCAGTTAACGACTACACTTTCAAGTAATCGCCTCATGTTGAATTAGCGGTCGCGGTGGCTGAGCGGTGCGGACGAGTTGGACACATCATGGTGGGAAAGCGTTGTCATGCGATCCAAAGAAGTTTCTGGCTAGCAGGAAAGAGGGTTTAGACTGCTTCCTCAATGCTCTTCCAACCACGGCCAACTTGTCGCGCTTCTTAGCTATTGCGATCGCTGTCTTTATGAACCTCCCAATCGTATATCTGCCATAGTTTTTCAGCACTCATATAAGACACACACTCCTGAATGCATGCCACACTCCATAGGAAGTGAGCGGGAGAAGCGGACAGGCCTATCCAATCGCCGATGATCCTAGCGTTCCAAGAGTTTTCCCACTAGGCTGCTCGATGCTCTCGCACCTTGTCCTCATACGATTGAAGTTGAGGTCAAGGCATCCTTAACCCATAACGTGCCTATCTTTTCCCTAGGTGAATTTCCTTCTTCAACCTTTGACCTTATCGTGTATTCCTCCTTAGAGTGAGATTTCGGTTGGAATTCGACACTCGGATCGTGTGCGTGTACAAGACAAGGAAGCGTATTATGAGGACCTGCAGGAAAAGCCGTCTACTTAGGTAATAACAAGCTCCACTCATTGTGAACGGGCTTCCGCTCGCGCCATGCATGCTGTAAACGTCTTAAACATTCCAACACCAATTTTTGTTCTACGCTGTAGTCTTTCTCCTCACCGAGCTATGAATTTTTTCGGGCTTTGTTTAGCTGATGTGTGTTCCGAACTTCTTGCGACATGATCCACCTATCTCACAACTGACCCGGTCTATCCTGGTGGATCTCCAAATGGTAATGAGTTTCGTGACAGACATACAGACAGAAGACCGACAGATCGACGGACAGACAGACAAACCACTTTCTATTAGCATGCAGGATACCCGCGATACTTTATAATTCCAAGCTCTCCACTGCCTAAGGCTGCTTTCATACTTCGCATCGGTGCGGTCGGTGCGACGGTGTCGGTGCCGACGGCGCCGACCGCACCGACAGTGTGAAGAGCGTCAATACGCGCTCTGGCGCATAACGCAAATGGGCATGCTGAAGTAAACAACGTGAATGGCAACCAGTGGTAGCTTTATACTCCTAGATTTCCTCTTTCGAATAAATGCTCAAGCTCAATCCGGTGCGACATTCATAATTCAACAACCTATTGTAATATATACAAAGAAATAATTTAATTACCTGAATCTAATTCTGTCCCACACTTTTCTCAGATTACTTTATCGTACTGTTGCTGGGAGAAAGCGTGTCATATTTATTTAGATCCGTAAGACTTCCCGAAAAGACATCTTACGGATGCGACGGCATTATCTTCCCGCTTAATGGATGCGATTACATGAAACTCGTGTGCTTATACTTACCGTGAGCCGATTTTTCTACTCCTTACTTGATAAATCTCTAAGGCTGCTTTCATGGTT